TTGAGTCTCTCCTTGAATGCATTGGATGGGGTGCAATGTTCTAAATGTACTTTGATTATATTCAAACATACACGACTTTGTGGTTCTGTTGTTTGGTACAAACTAAATCAATGTTTGAGAAAGCACAGACAAACTTAAAAAAAAAATCACACCTTGCATTCCTCCCCACGCACAAAAGGGAAGTTTCCCTCTCGGCATTCTTCACCCCAGTCTCCCCCGGACTTGGAGTTAAAGACAATAGTGTTGGTGTCACCGCTCGCATCAAAACGGGGATTGAAGTGCATGCCGATGTTCTCAGCATCATGACCGATGTTGATGGAAAAGCTGAGATGGATGCAAGTTAAAAAAGGGAGTAAGTGGATGAAATGTTAATTTTTCTCACAGTACACTGTGATAACTTACTCTTTATTAAATTAAAAAAGTTAACTTACTTTTAAGTTTACTTAAAGTAAAACTACACAAATACAGAGACAATGGATTTGTCAAACATTTTTTAGTTTGGATAGAGGAGAACTTACGAGTTGCAGTCATCGGAAGGCTTTACACGGATCTTGAACTCCTGCCCCTCCTTGAATGTCATGTCAGTGACTTTCTGCAAAGGGAAATGACAAAGAGGAAGAAAACTGATTGAAATAGATAGATAAATAGATGCTTGAGGCCAAAACAAAAAACACATTTCCATGGATTCAAAGCAACATTCAAAAACCTTTATTACACTCAGGAACCACCAATTTTGGCTTTGACGACAGGTTTTTTATCGATTTCTGTGATGCAGAGAGTCAGTGGGGGGTGGATGTCGTTTCTGTGTGTTCAGGAGTGAGATCGCTCTGTGGTAGAATTATCTTAGCTGTAATGATTAACCAGGGTGGAACTGTGGCCCCTTGTGCATAAAAGTACAGAAATATGAAGGCGCCATATTTTTCGATGTATGTGGACGTTATATAGAGACAATAAAACCATAAAAAGCACCAATTTTATCTGCACACACTAAAAAGATACCTATAACACATTTCCACAAAATGTGTGGGAGTGCACATCACAGTTGCAGAAACAATAAGTAAAAAAACAGCAATAACACCTACGATTGATTTTGTAACTCGTCAAACCCTCAGGATGTTTCTCGTAGTCAGTGAACCCTTTCATTTAATCAATAATGGAATACATTCCATTCACTGATTGTCCTTCTTATCTATATGCTGGGCATCCCATGATTCCATGCGTGAACTTCAACATCCTTGACCCTAGGTACCTGTACCACACCCATAGTTACCTTAACTCATATAACCAACAATATAGTCCATAAAGTCATACATTATCTCAAAACAGAACAGGTTTTGCAATAGGCTGTACAGATAAAGGTCCCGAAAAAAATTAAGTTAAGTTATACCATTTTATCCAAATGATTTAGTAGTAATGTGTATCATCCTAGCATTACAGCTCACAAAACATCCATGAGATCAGAGAGGCTAGGTACTTTGTATTTTTTTTATTTTGTGAACTGTAACTAATTAAAGATCAGGTAAAAAGCCTTTCCCTGTTAAAAACACAGAGATATTTTAAATTTTAGTTCAGCTTTGGTGTTCAATTGAGAAATATTGCCATGCCCTTGGACTGAAAGTTATATGATCAAACTAAATTAATAGAACTGAAAACTATACCTTGAGAAATTACAAATATTTGAATGCTAATCAATTATTTTCTCTCCTCTGTGAGGACTGAAATTTTGCTCGTGGCATTCTTATAAAATCATATTAATCACGGTTTAGTACTCTACGAATAGTGTTAAAAATTACTTGTTACTTCATAATTATGTAACCTCTAAATTTAACTTGTGTGAATATCTTTGAACATTTTAAGTGAAGTCAGAAAGCCAAACTCTTCGACAGTAAGCTATGGAGTGTGTGCATTTAGAAATGTAAGGTGGCATACAAACAGTAGAGCTCATTAGATCACAATTTCAACATGTTGGAGTAAATGACAAACGTTCTTCTTATGCGCTTGGTTTAATGTCATTATTAAGATGTTCAACCTATGAAAATCAGAAACTTAAAAGTAGCAAAAACAGATCTTCAGGACAAAGTTGACTAAACGTACTTTACTTGCATGTCAAACAGACATCTTAATGTGTGTGGGACATAATCTCCTTCATCACATTGATAGCAACAAAGAATTATTGAACAAAGCTTTTCACACCACTTACCATCTTGGCTGTCTTCAGTGGGGAGATCCTCGAGTGACGAAGCACTGCAGGCAGGTGAATGGTTTATATATATCACTACTGACGCTGGAAGCAGGAAGTAACAAACCAGTTAAGGGGTTGTAAAAATGACTAATCACGAATGACAAACTTGCTTGGGGGAAATTTTTTCGTTACACCAGCTCAAGAAAACAGGAAACAGGAATATAATTATCAAAAATAACAAGAAGTTAAAAATCAAACATATGTACATCAGTTACATAAAGGGAGAAAAAAAATACAATACTAGAATGATAACAGGTATGTACACTTTCACTTGTGGAAAGAGTATGTAGTACAGGTAGTAGTAGTAGTAGAGTAGTACAGGATGTTCACTAAAGTTTGAAATCAGTAATAAAGATAAAAACTACCTGATATTGTTCGCAAAGTAATCTTGTTTGTATGATATCCACACAGCTTGTTGGGTAAAGTTGGTAAAACATTTGCTGCACCTCAGAAAGAAAGTGCCACTGCACTACTAAGCAAACTACAATTATTTGCTGTATATTTACTTATTACACATTTGGCATTGCTCCACATATATTAATTGCTGAGGTTTTCATACTCGCTCAATATAATGAAATAGATGTGTGATTTCAACTGCTGTGTGCCTTATGTCCTAGTCTGGGGACTTTTTGATGAGCAGCTGTCCACTAGGGAGTTCCCTGAGAACTACACAACATATTTTTTCAGTCTTCATTCAAACCACCATGGTGATAGTTGATATGAGCCTTAAAGCAAGCAGGAAATACTACCCGAAATTTAAATATTTTTGCTTCAACATTTAAAAATCACGTATTTCCTCCTTCATATAACGCTCAATAATGCATGGACTTTGTTGACAGTCCATTTGTCTGAGTTTTTAATTTTTTTTATTTAAATGATTTTCAGAGCTTTTTCAGACATTTATTTGCTATTATTTGCAAACGTTTATGGTGGTTGGTGGTACTGGATTGGCTCTTGTGTTTAACCAATCATCGTACACTGACATATGGTATGGCAAACCCTTTTAACATCAAAATATTAGCGGTAATGGCAATTGTAGATATGAATAATTGCTCTTTGACATGTAGCATTCCAAGCTGACATATCCACAATGTAATTTTCACGAGTTACAATTCTAATTAAAGATATCTACATAACATTTTTTACTAGTGGAAATGTTCATTGTAGATATCTGTAACTTAATTACAACCAGTCAGATTGTGCCATTGACTTCTATTCAAATCGAATTACAGATATCTGTAATACAATTTTTACATGTTGTAATTCAAAGTCGACATATCCATAATGACATTTTGACATGTCCCAATTCTAATTCATGATCTCTACAACTCAATTCTCACGAGTAAAAATTGTAATTCTTGATATCAACAATTAAATTTTTACTAGTGACAAAGTTCATTTATGATATCTACAATTGTTCTTAAATTACAGATATCATAAATTAATTCTAGATCTCTAAAATGAAATTCTTACTAGTCAAAATTACTTTATTGATATCTTGACCTGGAATTGTTTCACATAAGAATGTAATTACAGATATCAAGAATTGAATTTCAGACATCTGAAATGCAATTCTTCATAACTGTAATTACATTATTACATGTAACAATTATATTAGAGATATCTACAATGTTCTTTTTAACTAGTCAAAATTGAATTGTTGATATCAAAAAATTAATTTCCAGATGTGAAAATGTCATTGTAGATATCTGCAATTACACACTTGTGAAAATGGTTTGATAATTTTTGTTATCTGTAATGGGAAATTACATTTCCACTAGTAACAATCCATTTTCAACATGTGGAAATTCAATTGTCGATATCTGTAATCATTTTTCGTACTAGTGAAAAAGTAATTACTGATATCTGCAAATCAATTTCAACATGTCATAATGTAATTTCTGCACATAGAAATGTATTTGTAACATGTAAAACTGGTTTTACAGATATCTTGAATTAACATTTCAACATGTCAAAATTACATTCCGAAAAGTTCCTGCAGTTCCCCCCTTAAGCTATGCACTGGGAATTAGTATATTAGCATACACAGACCCACAATTATAACTGACTCAAAATAGAGAAGATGCTATTATTTAGTCATTTCCATTCACTCTGACCTATTTTCTATTGTTGCATAATAACAATGAGTGAGTTGAATGTGTATTAAAAAAAATTATCAACACTAGGAGCAAATGCAATGTTGAAGCATACAGCTTGTTGGAGGGAAAATAATAATAAATACAGACAAATACGCAGAAATGCTAATGAAATACAGATGCAAAATGTTTGTGTGAAAACGTAGTTCTAGTTTCATGAAAACTGATAAATGCTGCTGTGGGCTTAAATGGGCTTCATCAATAACAAGCCTATATTAAGATACACAGTTATTTATGAAGAAGGATATTAAGAATGTTATGCAATGCCACCCAAGAGAGTATTTTAAGTCAGAAGTAATTTTCAATGACCATACCTAAATAGGCATTTAAAACACATAAATCAACAACAAATAGCCTACACAAGTTACACAATGAAAAACAAACTGAATGTAATTTTATCTGCTGTACGAATTCCAGTTCTCTAACAGACTTTTTCACTTTTTTTTTCAAAAGGTTTTGGTTCATTTTGAAGTTTGTAGTGTCATTATGTCATCATACTCTCTGTTGTGTTTCTGTTTGAGGAAAAAATGGGGGGCTAAAAGTGGGTCAGGATTTCATCCGAGCGCTACATAGTGGGCGTGACGTAACGTACCGAAGCCAATCAGCTGCTTCCATTTCACTGTGGGCGTGGCGATCACGCAGAGACCAAAACACCGCAGCTAACCCGAATGAACAACTAAGTTAGCTTGTGAGCTAGCTAGCAACTTCTGGTATGTCTCCTCTTTAGAAGAGGTTCAATTATCTATCTTGTGAATCTTTGTTTACCAATTTGTTCTCCAAACGTTTGAAAATACGTTGTCATATTAAAGGCTATGTTGATTTCATCTATGTTATTTCTTTTAAAAGAGTTAGGTAGAGCAAGTCTTTGGTCAGGGTTAGCTCGCTAGCTGTGATAACAACATAACTTTCTGCTTCTTCTAAAGGTTGGTTAGAGAGCCACACACGTTTTTTTGTTTTTGTTTTTTACTCTCTGCGTTTGCATTGTGTCTGTTTCTAGAAATGGCGTCGTTATCGGCGACAGAAGCAGCGTTATGCCCGGCTGCAGAGTCCATAGTGCCCGCTTGTATGTTTGCACCGGACCAGGGATGTGCCGACGACCCGTCCGGGGAAGAGGGCTTTGAAGACGGCGAGGGTACTAACGGCGAGTCCGCGGATTATTTAAACCTATGCAGCAAGGTGGGGCCTCGATGCAAATTAAGCGTCGTTGACACTTTGTTTTAAAGAATCCTTTCCAAGCTGTGTTTTTGTTTTGATTTGATAAATGCATGCCGTGCAGTGACATAACAAAACGCATGCATGTTAAGTGCACACAGCGCTTTTCTGCTGGCTGTGCAGAAGACCACAGAGAGTGACACGTATGTGTGCATGTGTAGCTTCAACCAGCTGGCAGGATCTCAAAAGACGGGAGTGTATTTACTGTATGTGCACACTTTGCAGGAGCAGTCAAGGACATTTAAGACTCATCATTCACAACTTTCTACTGGTTTACAGAGCGCATTGCCTTATAATAGAAGCTTATGTTTGTGATTACTTATTGAAGTTAGAACTTGAAATTACTCACAATAGGCTTGATTGACTCCCTGTTTGGTTTGTTCACTGTTGTCTCCTGCCCTGTCTCTCACTTTGCAGATTGTCCTTGTGAGTCCAACAGGTGAACAGTATGACTCATTATTAAGGCACCTGAGGGAGCTGATAGATGAGGGCTGTGGAGAGACAATCTATGTGGTCGGAATGGGCTCAGGTAAGAATAAATAACTAGTGATTCATTTGTATAAACAGATAACTGTATATATATATACAGAATAAATTGGCATGATAGAAGTTTTTTTGTGTGTCAGAAGTCTCCGGTCTCTGACTTTAGATCACATCTGAGCGGCCTTAGATTTTATACAGGACAGCAGCTGTATGGAGAGCGAAAGAGCGACGATGCAATGGACTACAACACAGTCCTAAGTATCCTAATCCACAGTCTTATCTTTTGACACTGATTTAGCTTTTTATAAATCTCTATAAACATATACATGCATGAGTGTGTGCAGATAGCAAACTGCTTGAAGTTGTGCTCTCAAGTTTCTCGGCAGACTGTAAACAATG